TGTCTGTCATTTTCATCCCCGTCTCGCCCACACACACACAAACACACACAGCAGACGTTTGAGCAACTGAAACGTCTGTTTTGAGCTAATCTCCTGTCATAGTGTGAATTCATAAACAGCGAGGTGGCAAAACATGTCAGCTCTGAACGACAGGCTCATGTTGGAGTAAATCCCATGAGACGAGCAGCGATACCATCCCGGCTGTGGCTGTATTAAGTTTGAAAATGTTTGGGAGGAAGTCATTTTTGTTACATATTTTAAAGGCATTTCAGTATTTATTTATCTAAACTAACAAAGCGGAGGGTACCAACTTTTTACTACCAACAGAAATGAAACCAAATCTCCTTCTTTAGTTCACATAATGAAAGCATAGATGTTTGACATAATAATGTTGACTATAAATTGCTCTCTGTGATGCTAAATAGAGCAGTCTTCCTAGCAGTGACTCCCTGGTGGGTGCTTGATAGTCAAATGGGGACTGTAAAACGACTGTAGCGGTGGTAATGTGAGTCTGTGCAACTTTAAATTCTGTTCTGCTGGAGTTCAGCTGAGCTCCTGCTTCAATTTTTTATTCATGGCTGTAACTTACTAAAAATTCTGTCTGGGTTTCTGTGCAGAGTGATGGAGGAAGGAATAGCCGTTGTAGACGTGGAATTGGGTCCACTCTAGAAATGACTCTTTTGGGAGAGGGGGGGTGGCGTCCGCTGATGGAAACGTACATTCTGAGACATTCGTTATAGGATTAGGGTTAATCCGTGGCTGTGAAACCAGCCGGGACGTCTCCATTCCGGCTCTATTTTCCACGTTGAGAGACTGTTGGAGTAGTTGCTGTGTGTGTGTGTGTGCCAGTTTGTCCTGCTGCCCATTTAAGAGTTTCCATTAGAAATTAAATGGTGTTTTTTGGACGAACTTTAGACTTACTGCAGCAAATGTAGAGCTTGCTAATTGATAGTTTTTCATTTCTGTCCCACTCAAATGGAAGCTGGCTGTGTTTGAGGCTCCTTTTAATCTTTTCTTGGCAATTTGACCTAATTTATCAGAGTCTGATTAAACCAAATAAATCAGAGGAGGCTCCACTGCAGTATCGCTGTGGTTTAAACATTATCTGATGTCCGCTCTACCCCTCAGATCCTTCCTCAGACCTCTCCTCTCTCGGCTTTAATCTACCAATTTCCCTCCAACAGATTTCATGTGCTGAAAATCAATTTAAAAACCTGTCATTTAGGAGCTGAAAGGGAAACTTCACCTTATCTCTGGAATCAATACAAAAAAACATGAAATCAGCCCTCAGTTGCCATATTATCCCCTGTCAGGAAATCATTACAAATTATAGTTTTAAGGGGATTTTCAAAGCACTAATAAGAGGAGTTTAGAACACCATAAAATATATAAATATAAGAGTGATACCATTTGGTAGTTAGGGTGAAGTGTGAGAGAATATTTTTATTTTTGACTTTCCAGAGATGGTGTAATCTGCTTACAAGCTCCCCCAAAAGATGTACACACCTCCACACAGGATTTAATCCGAGCCTGGATTTGGAAAACCATGAACAAAGCTTACCATAACATTTTACGCACAGTGTAGGATGATATTTGCCTATGACACAATCTTATAGTTTCAATCTAAACCAAAGTCTTTTTAGGAGAAGAAGAGGTCAAAGGTTGGTTATTGTTGGCTGATTGTTTGCAGTGCAGCAGAGGAAGGGTAAAATTTTTCAATATCTATAGAGTTCTCGTATTTTTATTCATTTTCAATATTATATTAAAAACGGATTTTTGCATTTATGGATAAGTGTATTCCACATAAAGAAAAAGTTCATGTTTTTATTCCATTATGTAATGTAGGGTTTTATAAAGGCTTAGAAACAGCATATTTTAAAATCTGCTAGGCTTTATAGGTCCTCTGTGGCTTTTAGATCAGCTGCGTATTACACTCCAAAGGGACTTCATCGACATCAGGGAGCACACAGTTCAAGTTATAGAAGCTGTTTCTTTCCTCTAACACCTCTTGAACTCTACTGAAGCTTCTGAAGGAAGCCTACAGAAGCCCTCTGATTGTTCTTGCATTTATACAGAGAACAAGAAGACAAGCGCTTGCTCATTAATTCCTCATTTCTTTGGCTTAGTTGTTAAATTAAAGCTAGTGCTGCTCTTGCTGAGCACAACTTTCCACAAGGGTTTCATGTTTGCTATAGGAGCAACTATTAAAGTTGTTCTGGGAGAGTATTTGAAGGCAAAATAAAATCGAATAAAAGCGGCTGAGCTTCATTAGGAGTTCCTGTTTAACACAAATAATAATTCTAGAGGGAGAAAAAGGCAAACCTTTCTTAAAGGGCTCCAAATTGAGGAAATATGCACAGTTTTTCTCTTCTGTATTTTCGGTCTTTGGATGTTCCTACTCCCGTTTCTCACCTTTTTTCTAGTCTTACTATCTTACTACCAGTTTTTGGTTTAAACGTTACTTTATTGTTAGAATTTTTACTCTGCTTCTGTTCACACGCTTTATAAATTACAGTAAAATAGGATCTAATAACCTTACTTTTTCTCTGACTTTGACCCTGCTCACATGACTGTACACAAAGCCAGACCCTTGCTGAGGAAGCGAAGCCTTGTGTCCACGTAACAGGATGAGGGGATCATGTCAGCAGCTTTGCTCCCCCGGCCGTAGCCTGCTGGCTTGGTCTGGTGGCCACATTTGAGCTTTTGCGGAGCCCCTTAACTCCCCTCCGGCTGATAAACCCGAGCCTGCAGCTCGCACAATCTCTTCCCTGTGGAGTGTTTTCATATGCCCCAACCTAAAGTAGGAAGCAGTTCTTGTGTACCACTCCCCATCAGATCAAGCTTCTTCTCAGTTCCTCTTTTTAAATTGGCAGAACTTGCAGGCCTGCAGGTCCCACAGGCCCAGAGCCCGCTAAGTATACAACACAGCTAAGCAGTCATAACGGGATTTGAAGGCTGGAGTTTGTCTCATGTGAAAGTTTAGAGTGTAGAAAGGATTTTAGACACTCTGGGGACTTCTAGTACTGGCAAGCTCTAAAATATACACCAGGAAAATGACAGTCTGATTGCTCTGGTCTCTATCCTCATCCAGCTATTTGGGTTTTGTTTTTACAGATACTGGAGGTCCTGCTGTTTTTGCTGAAGTTTACTGGAACAAACTCCTATAGCAATATATAATTCATAACCTTGTTTTCTAAAAGACATGTTTGTTTTCATCACCTTGGAATAAACAATTGATATCACTCAGGGGATTACTTTCTGCCATAAAGCGTAGCTCTTTGCTACGGGGGCCCAGAGTGGACAAATGATGGTCGTGATTATGTTAGCCTGCATGGGTCCATCTATATATTCCTGGGAATGCCGCCTTCATCTACAAGTTGGGATATCAGGTTTAGTTTAACACTTTGCTGCTTTACTAGTGCTTTGAGAGCCTTGGTAAAATCTAAAGGATAATTTGCTCAGTCAGATTACATTGATTTTCCCTTTTTTTTTAAAATTAGGTTTAGTTGTTCTTTGTTTAAATTGGCTTCATCTTGCCTTTTAGAGGCTGGAGGTCAAGCATATTTTAGCAAAATTATTACATGGAAGTATTGAATAAGTCTAGTTAAATTTAGAATACTTTACTAAAGGTGGGATTTACTAGAGCTGACACCTTAGCTCTACTATAAAAGGCCCCTTTATGTATAAATATTCTTAATTTTGATGAAGTTAAAAAACTAGCCAAACTACTTCCATAGGCGTTAATGCTTATAGCTTTTCTCATCTGCTTCAGCAGGCAGGTTTGCAATGACAAACACTGCGTTTAACATGGTTTGAACCACAGGAATAACGCAGCCTGTTTTTACCAGCAAAAATCAGACGTAACATGGCATTAGCTGAAGACGGGTGTGTTTCACCTATCAGACCTGGAGGTTACAGAAAAAAGTGGCAGGCACATATACACACTGTTGTAATTCCTACACCGTTCATCTGATTTGGATGTAAATACCCTCAAATTAGAGCTGAAAGTCTGCAGATAAAAGCACATCTTGTTTGTTTCATTTCAAATCCATTGTGGTGGTGTATAGAGTCAAAAAGATTAGAATTGTGTTGATGTCCCAATATTTATGGACCTGACTGTATATCTCTGACATTCGATCTCCAACACAGTTCAATTGTATTCAGTCCAATTATATGTCCTCTGTCCGGTCCACTTAGATCCAGTCCATTTAATCATAAATAAGGTAGAGTACAGTCAGAATCATTTCTAATTTCTTTTGATTAAGTAGTTTCCTAAATAGTTTTGGTCATAGACTGTCCATCTTTATCCGTTGCTGAGAATGTATGTGATGACAGCCAAGTGGAACTTCTTTCTTTTACCTTGAAGGAACCTCCCAAAGAGCAATTAAGGTTGATGGTTTATGATAGGACAAAGTTAGTTGAATTGCAGTAATATTTCAAGTTACATTTCTCCATCATCTAAACAATTTAGATAAATGTTCTGATGTAAATAAAGAACCTTAATCCACTGATTGTTTTCTTATGTAACCCATCATATTCTAGGAGTGTATCCCAGAACCGTATGTGACCACAATGGTTATGAGTGTTAATCTCATTGTGGTAACTTTTCTGCAAAAGTTACAATTTTTCTGTTGCAATCTACAACTTTACCAGCAGGTGTCATTAAAGTCTAATAAAAACGTTAATTTTTAATTAGGCCTTAAATTGCGTAAAGCTAGTATGGAAAATGATGAGAAAGTTAACTAAGTGGCAAGAGAAAAGATGACTACTTGAGTATTAATTAAAGGAATTGAGGCTGGGGGTCAGCAGGGGTCTGTGTGACCTTTGACCTCTGCTCCTTACTTGTCTCTTCCTGATCTGATTATTAGCACCTCACGCTTTAAATTTCTGAAGCTCCCACACTTCTTCACATTGGTAGCTTTCCTACTAAAAAAAGGAAAAGAAAAAAAGAACCATGCAACTCTAAATTTGTTCTTTATTTTTTCCTCCCATCCTGCCAGGTTTAGTCCAGAAGGTCGACCAGCGCCTCCCGGTGGCAAACGAGTACCTCCTTTTATCAGGCGGGGCCCGAGAAGGCGTCCTGGACCTCAACCCGGAGGACCTGGGGGAGTACGCCAAAGGGGCCGACTTCGACTTGGATTTCACCCTCCTGGTTCCCGCGTTGAAGCTTCATGACCGCAACCAGCCGGTCACGCTTGATATGAGGCACTCGCCCCCATGCCACTCGTGGCTCAGCCTGCGCCTCTGCGACTCCAACGTCCTGTCACGCTGGAGCATCTGCTGCCAGGAGGAGAGTGGGCTCCCTGTTGAGGAGGACGAGGAGGAGGAGATGGGTGAGTTTGAGACATAAGGGTAAAAATAGAGGAATGAGGATATGAACTTAAAAGAAACAGGAAGTTGGTGAGGAATGCTAGAAAAATGAACGAGTCTGTGATGAAGGGCTGGAATAAACAAAGATGAAAGTGTTTGCGGCAGTGCCGGGTGAGAAAACTGGAAACAGATTGGATTCAGTCCATGTTTTCCTCTGATAATTTGATTCATGATGCTGTGATGCAATTTCGACTGACAGCCTGCAGCAGAAGGGCTGTTCTTCATAATAAAACTCCTCAAATAGGTTGAAACTGGGGGAAAAAAAAACTGCCCAAGAATTTAGTTCTGCAACATTCATGAGCATAACTAAGCAGACGAAAGTGCAAGATAACACAGCGGTTTGTAGATTGCTCCACAAAATCAATCTACCGCATGCTGGCGAGTGCGCCGCTTGGAGGGTGGGGGAAAGTAATGACATTTATTGATATGAATCTCTTTAATTTTCAGCACTTGGGGAAGAAGCATTGACGGGGTTTTCTGGATGTGTAATAACATTTCCCTCCAGATCTCGGGGTGCTCTAATTGTTGAGGCAGGAGGAGGTGATTCAATCAGGCCAGAACCGGATGTGTTGCACCAAATATGTCCCTGAAAGATGGAAAAATTCACTTTTTTAATATTCCAAGGTCTCGACAGCTCCTCCTAAAGAACATGTCCAACTCGAGGCCAAATCCGGCGCCCAGCACTGCCATTTATCCGACCATCAAGAGTCAAAAAAAGCACATTATGCCATTAAGCAGAGATGTTAGTTTTACTACAGTCGCTTCATTTGGATGGGATTAAACTGATTTCAGATAATAAAGTAAAAAATATTGCTGTGTTTTTGATCAGGACCTGTCATTTAAATTCCTTATCAAAGATGTTTCTAGAACTTCCTTCTTTCATAAATCTCTAATAGCAGAGCAGTGAGGTTTAGTAAATAAAATGATATGAAAAGTGTCTTTTAAGCAGTAGTCAACCCTTTTTAAGTCTTGATAAAGGCCAAGTAGCCTGTTATAAACATGAGTTTGAAACCTCTATCATGAAGTCTCACCTAGATGAAGACTGACTGATGGATCGCTGTGCAATATTTATATTTTAACCCCTTTATACAATTTTGACTTTTCAACCCACCTATTTATTAAATAAAATTCATCAGATGGAGCAACACAAAAAGCTGCACATCATCCTGTATACACCATCCTGGTGCAGCATGGTGGTGGCAGCATCATGCTGTTAAGATGCTTTCTTTTACGGCTGCAGGTCGTTGTCTGCGCTCTGGCTTCTTTTCATTTTTGTCAACTTTTAAAAAAGAGTGCTTCTGTCAACCAGCATGCTTCCAATATTTTTCCAAGACCCATGACCTTTAAACTTTTACTGTAGCTGGATAAAAGTAATGGAACAGTTGACGTATTTATATATGAACTGCTCAGAGCACAGATACATTTAAATCAACGCACATCGACATTTGATGAACTGATGCATAAACAGATCTGGCAGAGTTTATTATAAGAAATTCAAGGAGGACCATCCTAAAGAAAACATGTCAAAATGGCCTAGTCAAAGTCTAACCCTAAATCCAAATCCATATATGGATTTAAGCTGTTAAAATTGAAAATCACAGGTGCGATATTAATAGGTACCCAAATCCCCCCTTGTTAACAGGCTTAGATGTTACTGTTGGGCCTCAGCGCTGCACCTAAACACAGAATCTGAAAGAACGGAAATGGAAAAAAAAGGCCATAACATTCTGAGCCAAATCTAAATGCATCACATGAGCAGAAACTCTAAATACAAATAGTTCTAAAGCAGCAGGTATAGAAAGCCACAAGGGCCACAACTTTTTAGCCCAAAATAGATACATTATTAGATAATGGCTCCTTCTCAAATTCATTTGTAATTAAAGCCTTTTTGCTATCCTGGTGCCTGAAAACATCCAAGGTTCCATTAGTCTCTCTTCCTGATGAATCAACATCATTCTTGCTTGTAGAAAGCCAGCCCTAGTGATTATCTTGCACTGAGACCAGCTGTGGCTGTCAGTGGGCCTGCCCAGGAAATTGCATATGCAGTAAATGTAACTGAAATGTTTCTGCAAGATATGCTTCACTCACTTAAGCTTATTATTGTCTTGTAGGTTTTAATCAGTCATCCAGGACTTCCTTATGATCTGGGATTCAATGTCGGTTTGCACAGAAAGACCAAGACATGAATTATATTAGTAATGACCTTGTCTTCGATTTTACCCTAGAAAATAGAGTCTCTTTATGTTGACTTCAGTTGTCCTTCAAAAAAGTAAAATTTCTTGGTAAACGTATTGGACCTTTTATGAAATTGCTTTTTAGCAATAAACACACCGTGGAGGATGTGTGATGCTGTGGGCTGGTTTCTCCTTTTTTTGGCTCTGAGAACTTTCTTAGAGATTATTACATCATGAACCCTTTGAAACGCAGAGATAAAAACCAGGAAATGTTTCATATAATTTAGTTTATTTGATAATTGACAGAAGAACTGAATATGCTCCTAAACAATGGATGTTGTCGATCCATCTCTCACTCTGTCCCTTTCCAGGGAAAGGCTCAATCCCCTCCCTGGGCTCTCCTCAGTCCCTGGACGGGTGCTACTTCTCCCCCACCTTGGTAACAGACTGGTTCTGGGGGGTCGTGAGCGAGGCTGTGGAAGAGCTGAGACGCAGCCCCCAGAGAGGCATCCCAACCCCTGAACGGCTGGAGAGGAACGGACCCCTGACCACCATCATCCTTCAGGTACAGACCAGCTGCTTTCTGCTGCTGTAAACGCGCCGAGCGAGGCATGAAACGGTGTCCTTCTTGCAGGCGGGGTCCAGCCGGGTTCTGTATGACCTGCTGCCTGTGGTGTCGTTTCGGGGATGGCCCGCCGTGGCCCAGGGCTGGCTGACAGCCAACCACTTCTGGGACGGTAAAATCACAGAGGAGGAGGCCATATCTGGCTTCTATCTGCTGCCCTGCTGCTCCCCGCTGGGCGGTCGGCCTGACAGGGAGTGGAGGCTGGCCTTCTCTCGCAGTGAGGTGAGTTATTTATTCACTGCTCCCTCTTTTTGTCCCTCATTCTCGTATATTAACACTAATCCTGCATGATTCTTGCGGGCAGGTTCAGTTGAAGAAGTGCATCCCCTTCCCCATGGCCCAGGCTTTCCAAGCAGCCAAGGCGGTTCTGTCCCGCATTCTGGCCCGTCCCCGAACAGGCCTCAGCCTCTACCACCTGCGCACCCTTCTGTTTTGGGCTTGTGACAGACTCCCCGCCGCCTACCTGTCCTGTCCCGAAGCGGACACACCTGGTCGCCTCCTCTTGGGTCTCCTGGACGACCTGGCTCACTGTATCCTGGGGAAAAACTGCCCAAACTACTTCCTGCCTCAGTGCAACATGCTGGAGCACCTGAGTGACAGCCAGGCGCTGCTCGTTGCCAGGAAGCTGGCTCACGTGCGCTCAGATCCCAGCGAGCACCTACGGGCGGCTTTGGACCAGGCCCGGCAGGCGGGGCAGCTAAAGAAAGAGCTGACGGCCAGCACCAACGGCCACGGGTCACCCGGGCACCACCCTGCCAACGGCATCATCTCACCCTCTGAGGATAAGCTAGCTCAGCGGCTGCAGCAGCTGGTGACGGAGAACCCAGGGAAATCCATATCGGTCTTCCTGAACCCCGACGACGTGTCCAGGCCGCACTTCCGCATCGACGACAAGTTCTACTGAGTCGTCAAGGAAATGCCTGTGAGTTTATATCCAAGGGAGGGTGACCCCGCTGCTTGACTAAGTCTTAAAACCAAAATAAAATAGACAAACACACTTCCTTTGGGGAAAAACTGCCGTCCAGTTAGCTGGATGTCACAGAGTTGTCGCCACGGCGATAAGTGTCTCCTAACGAGCTGGCCTTAAGGAGACCAAACAGCTGTAGCTTGGACATGAAGCGCCTGCTTTAAAACAAGAACCAGAGACTGTGTGTACATGTTTGCCTTAGGGAGTCGGACTGTGACGTGCCCCTCTACAGAAATCATCCAATTCATCACAGCGAGCGATTGACGAGTCAGAAATGGAGGAAAACGAGCTGATGAAACTGATTGTAATGTTGTGAGGAGAGCTGTGAGAGTCTCTATGAAACTCCTTTTCATTTACACTCAGTTTGTGCGACTGTTTAACTTTTCTCAGGTATGCACAACATTTTAGAAGTAGTTTTTTTTTTCATTCTGTTCAAAACCCAAAATAACATGAAACTACTGAAATTACCCGGATCGTACCAAAGAACAGTGAATTGATTGTTTGACAAAAAATGTTCTCTGAAAATTTCTGTGACAAGGCTACGGTGCAGGAATCTAGCAGCAGAATCGATGACCCCCATAGGAATCGAGAAAGCAAATCAAATTGATAGAAACACATATTTTCTGAACTGGAGGAAGGTTTTAAGCTAGTTAGCTTTCCATCGTTTTTAGGGACCTTTCTCTGACGTAATGTAATCTTTTAAGTTCTGGTTTTCATGTCAACAAAAATCTAAATCCTTGCGTTTTTCTCTACCGTTTGAATGTGTTTGAAGGGTTATGGTTAAATTGAGGAGGAAAGAAGAAGTTGAACACATTTTAGATTTTTAAACCAAATTCTCTTATTAAAATCCTCAACATGGGGGGAAAAAAGCCATTTCCTCTAAAGGTATATTAGCCCATAGATGTAGGGCTGTGTTCTACATCTGTCCAGGCTTTTTACTAGAGATACACATCCAGGTTATATCCAAGAATGTAGCATCCAAACTGGTAAAATTCAAGATGAAGCCAATTCATTCAAGTAGAAACGATCATTTAATTACATTTTTATGCAGTCCTACGTGCCGTGAAACAGTCATATACAGTTTATCATGTAGTGCCAGTTGATAGTTGTTAATAGAGAGTAATTTACTAAAAGCGTATTAATCTTTTAATCAGATCCACTCAGAAAGAGCCTCATGATGAAGGCCTTTAATGTCCA